GGCGTACAATACAATACAATAGCAGAGTTGGAAGGGACCTTGGAGATCTTCTAGTCCAACCCCCTGCCTAGGCAGGAAACCCTATACCGTTTCAGACAAATGGCTATCCAACATCTTAAAGACTTCCAGTGTTGGGGCATTCACAACTTCTGGAGGCAAGCTGCTCCACTGATTAATTGTTCTAACTGTCAGGAAATTTCTCCTCAGTTCTAAGTTGCTTCTCTCCTTGATTAGTTTCCACCCATTGCTCCTTATTCTACACTCAGGTCCCTTGGAGAATAGTTTGACTCCCTCTTGTTTGTGGCAACCCCTGAGATATTAGAACACTGCTATCATGTCTCCCCATACTTTGCTGGCTAAGGATGAAATTCAACATTTCCAGAAGACACCAGATTGAGAAACGTTGATATAGTACAGACAGTACTCTTCTTGCAAATGGGCTACATCCTGGGAGTTCCTAAGTCCTCAAGTCCAACAAGCATAAAAAACATGCACAATACAGTTCTTATCTTACAGTATACAAATAGATCTGTGAACAGTATACAAGAGGAAGGCGGGAAAAGGTTAGTTTCTGGTGCGTCACTTACGTAAGTGACATGCTGGAAACTAATCTTTTCCAGCCTCCTCCTAGAACCTTTCTGGATGGCGTTGCAGAGAGACTTGTATCAATGAAAGTTCAAACCTCAAAAGTTTATAAGCTGGGTAATGTCTGTATAGGACTATTGAAACACATGTTTTCTTTGCCACTAGGGGGCCCTTTGTAACCATAATAGGTATGCTGCACATCTCATTTTCTTTGTCATAGATCTCACCCATAGTTCCTAACACAAACTAATCAGCCTTCTAAATCTCCAAGCATTACAGAACCAGCAAATACTGAATCCAGAGTGAAGGGACGCACCATTGCTTCAATCTTAAATGCTCATGGATTTTGTTTTGTGGGAAATGGAAAATTTAAGTCACAGATGGAAAACCCGGACTATAAAACTCAGTGCATTCAGGTTTTGCTATATATTAGTGATGGCAAATCTTTCTGGCCCCGAGTGCTGAAAAGGGAACATGTGCATGCATGGCATCGAATGCCGAAAAGGGAGCACTGCGAGTGCATGCTTTGCATGAAAGCACACTGTGTCTGGGCTGCAAGCAGGAAGAGGAAATGCACTTCTGGTTTCCAGTGCACACAAGTAGTAGAATTGGAGGTAATACTGAATAGGGCCTCTCATCCCAACCATCCTCATTCCCTAGTCAACACTATCAAAAGTCTGAGAGGTCCTTGAGTATCAAACACTCCTCTTGCCTCTTCCCAAGTACAGATCATCTATCAAGGTAATTGAGGCCATTTCCATGCCAAATGCCTGTCTGAAGCCAGACTGGTAAATATCTAAATAATCCATTTCCTCTAAGAGTTCCTGGAGCTGTAGCACTGTAGCACTGCAGTTTTTTACTAGTTTGGTTAAATATCTTTAAATACATTTTATCTATTCAGCCATGAGATTCTTTAGGGATTTGGCATAATTTTAATGGGAACATAATTCTTTGTAATGTTAATATAATTTGTAAATATATTCAAAGCTCTGTTTGCTCTAACATTGACTGTATATGTTGTTTCCTGCTCAAGTTCCTTTAAATTGGTTGGGAAGATAACAAGTAACAGTAATTTATGCCATATGACTTTCTAAATTTACTATCATCTCAACAACAAAAAAATGTATTTGGGGGAAAAATATGTTTGGAATGACATGTTTGATTATCTGCCAATATCACTGCATTTTTCAAAATGTTCTCATTAAAGGCAAGTTTTGCTTTGTACAGAACAATGGCTTGGATTCTAAGATGATTTAAGAATGTTTATGGAAGGAAACTTTCCCACCCATTCCTCCCCTTAGCCTACTGTGCCCTTTGAAAAAGCATTCCTAGAGATTCAGCGCCCTTCCTGAATTAAGTGGGGGCTGCACACAGAAAGGGAGACTAGTAATTTTCTCTCCACAAACTTACAGGATTCAAGCCAGCAGCTATTCATGGTAATGTTATAAAACAGCTAGAGAACTGAGGTGCAGGCAAAAATAAAAGTGTATAAAGCTAATTTGTCACAAAATTCAGAAAAACCTACCTTGTTACTGTTCTAAATATTCTAGAATTAAATAATCGATGGGTTCATGCACTGAAATAAACTATGATTTGTTATCGAAGTCAAAATTGTCTGGATTCATGAGCATGCTAACAGTATAGAATGCATACAAAGTTAATATTATTTTTTCAGTTTAACTCTGGAGACTTCAGACTTTAACCATGACTAGCCTTCTTATTCTAACTAAAATAATACCTAAAATGCTTAATAGAAGAATGCTGTGACTCCTATTCTTATTTCTGAAATATTATTAATGAAAATTCTTTAGGTTTCTCTTGTCAGTTTTTCCATTTGCCTTAAGAAGTTTATAAATTCTTTTCAAACTTCACTGCAGCTATTAAAAAATGCAACCTCTTAAAACCAGCTTGGAACATACCCAACTTAACAGGAATACCTATGAAAATATTATTTGTAAGAACCCACAGTTGATGTCATTTAATAGTCCATTTAAATAAACCCGTAAAGGGATATTTATGAAAGCAAATTTTTTATCCATGTTAGCAAAAATGTAACACATTAATCTCATGGACAACTCATTGGCTGCTCTCTCCAATTTCTCATCATCACTGAACCATTTAACATTCGTGATAGTAATGATGTCTCAATGATCAGGGGAATCTTATTGGACATCCCATGCTGCAGAACATCTTCCCTTCTTCTGTCCAGGTTCAGAAATAGAAGAGATATCCAAATTGTAGCTATAGCTGGCCAATTTCTCACCCTGTCACAAGCTAACATACCAGGGGAAAAAGAACAAGTAAATTAAAGCCCTGAAGTTTCCTAAATAGAGTAAAGCTGTAACTGTGGATACTCCGCTTAGCATTTAATTTATTATGAAACAATTCTAATACCTTTTCTCATTCTCCAATTTCTGGATTCTCAACCTCAATGGCTTCTTCTGACCTCTTGCCACCGCCCTAGCTTTTCCTGAACAGTTTGCATTCCTGGTTTATGACTCATTGTGATTAAGCTATACAGGTAGTTCTCACTTCACAAACACTTGTTCAGCAACCGTTTGAAGTTACGATGGTGCTCAACGAAGGGACTTATGGGGAGCCATCAAAGTTTCATCTCTTGCAGTGTGCCCTACATTGATCTGAACCAAATTTCAGGTTCACCTGCATTTATGAACTTTCGGCTGCCTACTTGCTGCCAGCAGCTGCCCAGCCCTGCCCTGTGTCACCACACCCGCTGCATCACATGCTACTACTCTACCAGCTGTGACGTTCTTTTGTGCACTGGCTAGAATCCTTTTTCATGTGCCAGCCAGGTTTTTCTTTCACTGAGGGCACAGTTGGAAGGGCTGAGGGCTATGGGCAGCCGGGGCAGCCAAAAGGAAAAAAGATGGGGGTGAGATAGATGGATGGGGGAATTAAGGCCCTTTGTTGTTGTTGTTAGTTGCGAAGTCGTGTCCGACCCATCACGACCCCATGAACAACGTTTCTCCAGACCTTCCTGTCCTCTACCACCCTCTGGAGTCCATTTAAGCTCACGCCTACTGCTTCAGTGACTCTATCCAGCAACCTTATTCTCTGTCGTCCCCTTCTTCTTTTGCCCTCAATTTTTCCCAGCATTAGGCTCTTCTCCACTGAGTCCTTCCTTCTCATTAGGTGGCCAAAGTATTTGAGTTTTATCTTCAGGATCTGGCCTTCTAAAGAGCAGTCAGGGTTGATCTCCTCTAGGACTGACCAGTTTGACCACCTTGCAGTCCAAGGGACTCACAGTCCCTTTACCTCAAGTCCTTTATCTTACACTTAAGTACTTCCATTAGCACTCAGAGTATTCTTTATTTTAACATAGCTAATAAAATGTGTATTAAAAAAAAATAAAAAAATAAAAGTATTGTGATAAAGATGAAGATTTAGTTTGATCTCTCACAATACATAACAATATAATGCAACAGGTATAATCAACACCAATATTTTACTTCACTTAAGACAACTTTACCTCATGCTCACCTGGAACTACTGTCACTAAGCAGAGCGGTCACATGACATTTCACTTAATGACCATGCTGCTTGGTGACAGAGTTGCCAGTTCCAATTAGGAGTTGTTAGGTGAATGAGAAATCCCTGTACCGAGTCCATGCTGATCTTCAGCTCAACAGACCACAATTTTGGTTTAATCTTCAAACATTTTATAGCCCATAAGAATCCAAAAGAGACATCTTGGAGTTTGATTCATTTTTTTTAATAATAAATTGTGCCAGCAGAAGCTTTCAAAAGGCAAATGATAAATAAATAACAGTTAAACTGAGTTCCTGAGGAAGAACCTACCACATAAAAGGATGACAGATAGATGTAAATATAAAAATGGCATTATATAAAAAGTAGTAATACTGAATCTTTCATAAACCACCACAACACAAGCACTGCATATCTCAGAACACTCCTTTCATACAAATGTAAACAAATACACAATCATTTTGCTTAGTTTACTCTGATGGATTTAAAGATGTTGTTTTAGATAGTATCTAGACAATGGGTACGATATGATAGATTAAAATATTAAGAAATAACATATGGAATAACATAGGAAAAACTGAAGCTTTAGATTTAAAAACATAAAATAAGCAAACACACAGTGGAATATTGCCCTCAAATGTTATTGCAATCAGTCATTTAAAATAGGACTGTTAAACTAATCTGAATTAAGGATTTGAAAGAAAAATCTATTTAGGTATATATAGAATATAAATGATGCTATTTATGGCTTAATTATCTTTAGCATTCCATTATCACTTTGAGTATTCTTTATGTTAACATAGCTAATAAAATGTGTATTTTAAACAAAAAAAATCTTAAATGTATGTTTGTATTTTGATAGAGATGAAGGATTAGTTTGATCTATCATAATACATAACAATATAATGGACCAGGTTTAATCAAGACCAACATTTTGATACATCACTTAAGACAACTATGGCTGCCACCTAAATAGATTCTGTTCTGTATATACTTGGTTAAGATAAATCTCTCCACTTAAACAGGTCATAATAGTTCACAGTTCCAAGCACCCTTGGAAGTGTCAGCATTGTTGTGTTTACGTAGTTTAGATAAACCATTATGTAATTGTACCATCTCTGATTTTCTTTATACTGATGACATAGGGCTTACCTGCAGATTCAAACAAAATACAGCTCCATGCTTTTATCATGTATGTAGTTTCTAGATCTGGAAATCATCACGGGTAGGCAAAAAAAACAAAACAAAAAAAACCATACCCAAAATTTGTTATATTCATTTGGTCTCAAGAGATGCTTAAGTCAGATGCTGGCACTCATTAAAACCCAACATTCTTCATTAAAGACTGTGCTATGAAACTGATAACAAGGGAATTATTAGTCCAGCAACATCTGAAGGAAAAAGTTCTTTACTCTTGCTTAAATGATTAAAGGAAGCTGCACACTTTGATTTTTCCACCATAAAATGCAATCACAACAATGAATAATTCACCTTAAGGAAGACTAGAAGAACCTGTTGATGAAGCGTATACATTGTAGATAAGAGTCCCATTTTCAATCTCCAGCATATCCAATAAAAGAGTCTTAGACAACAGGGTTTTGAAAACCTCTGTTTTAAAGGAACAGCTTGCTAAATTACCCTGCACTGCCTGGAGTCAGTACATTATTCCTAATCATCTGAATCAATAAATCAACTTTATATGTCCAATACATTCCAGAAATTCATTGTCACTTAGCATTATAGCTTAGAAGAGTCCTATAAATTTAAAAAAAGAATATAAGGCTCCTAATTCCATTTTAAGGCACAGAGAACTGAACATTCTCATTATATAATTCTGCATACAGATACTAAATGATAATATTCATGAATACTATATGGCAACTTACAAACACACTGAATACTGTGCATTGTGCTAGATAGATGGGCCATAGACTTTGATCACAAAGTGATCTTGAAAGCTATGTTTTGGTGTTTATCCTTTTATAGGAGGCTAAGTATCCTATGAAGTTAAACAACTGATTAAACCAAGCTCTCCTTCCTCCTATACACACCATCAATCCCTACATGAGTTAGAGTTTTGCCATTTGTCTTAGAGAACATACACTATATTGCCAAAAGTATTCACTCACCCATCCACATAATCAGAAGCAGTTGTGAGCGAATACTTTTGGCAATATAGTGTATAATAGATAGCACACAATCATAATAGAAAAACCATCCACACAATACTTTATCAGCACACCTATTGAAGGTCTAAAATTAAAGATCTTCATTAAAAATAGATGCACAGGACCTGCCTGTGAATGGCAAGAAAAAGGTCATTTCAAACAGAAAAACAAAATAACACAAGCCATGCAGCACTCTCCACACACCAATCATTGATATCACATCCTGACTGCCACTTGCTCAGACTACGATTATACTAAATTCCAACATATTTTTCAAAAGGGAAATAAAAGCAGCTTCGACAATTGTGTCAGAATTTTGAAATGTGGAAAAATACACATAAAGATTAGGGTCTGAATACAAAAAATGGCACCGGTAAATTTAGGACATTAGACGTAATACATTTTTTCCTCTGACTAAATATTATTGCACAGACACTTTTAATCATATGTTCTTCGATCTTATGTATTTTCCTAAAATGTGACATAAGTGCGATGGATCCAAATTTTAACAAATGAGAAAAAGAAGAACAGCAGCATGATTTGTCAAAGTTAATTCCTATAATTTAGTAGGAAAAAAAACCCTGCTATAAACAAAAATAAGTGCTCTTTGCTCACTTAAAATAAAAAAATAGCACAATGCTGTAGAAGCATGTAAATGCAACAGCAGATAAGAAAAAATTGGTTAAGAATGCAACGCACCAGGCCTTAGAAACTAGACTGAAATCTGGTTTTCAAGTGCACTCATCAACAAAGCTATTTACAGTTCTATACGGCCTAAAATCTGAAACAGCTAGCATTTAGAACCTTCTTTTCAAGTCTTTCTTTCCCCAGAATTGCATGATCCTGAACTGGAACTGATCCCAACCAAGAACTATGTAAGGAAGACCCTAAATTTATGAATAAAGTTTTGTTTTAGGATTCTTTACAGTCATTTACACATATACAGGTTGACAGGCTCCATTCTGATCCAGCCCATTTTTGTTTTCTGTATCAGGATTTTTAGGCTGGCTTATATCTAGCCCAGAAGGCTTTGGATATCTGAATGGGTATCCATTGTCATCAAAAAACCTTCGGAAAGTGAACTCATAGAAGGCATGTTCTGTATGTTTGCCATTAGATGAGGCCTGAGGGTCCCATGCCCTGGCATTGTCTTCACTGGAGTCATCCCAAGGCCCATCTTCCTCAACTGGATCAAAATTGGAAGTGTCCATTGGATGGCTGATCTTTGGGACATAAGGAGCTGGCTGTCTGCGGATGTCAGTGGAGAAGTCTATGGAGTCAAAGAAGATGTGATCCTTGATATCATCTGCTCCATTTCTTCCAAGCCTCTCTTCAGCGGAACAACAGAGTTTTGTGATAAGGTCGCTAGCTTCAGGACTGAGCTTAATCTGAGAGGGAATGTGCAGAGTATTCTCCCAGTTTATCACCTAAAAAAATAGAAGTATATAGTTAATGTTGAATATCAATCTGCATGAAGTGTAAGGCATCCGCATGCAAAATAATTCTGCAGTTGTTTGGTACCCAATGTACTCAATGACAATTCTGCCTTTTGTTTTATTTTGTATGTATCACTTCACTTACAAAGAGAGCAAATTTAATAGATAACCAGATCACGGCAGAAAGACTCTTACTTCATAAAGAGATTCTAGGAAGAAATTTAATTGCATATTTAGCATAGTCCTCAGTTGACTCAGTTCTTTCATCATAATCTTGTTGAAGTCTTGCTGTCTCTGAACCAAGGAGAGTAGCAAATATTTAGTGAAACTACAGATACCACTGGGCAAAGGGGCCCATCTCACTGCTAAATATGCCCTACTTAATGATCGGCAGAAGCAAAAATGCTTTCAAATTAATGCACAGATAATTCCAATAAACTCCACACAACCAAAAAAAACCCCTTAAATTACTTTACTTTTACATAAAGCGACCACTTAAGTGATATGCCTATCTAAACAAATGATATCCCACAAATAACCTGATCCACCTTCAGAAGAACAGAGGCACCCAGGGATGTAATACAGTAGTCTACCATGTTTTCCTGAAAATAAGACCAGGTCTTATATTAATTTTTGCTCCAAAAGACGAATTAGGGCTTATTATCCTGTTAGGTCTTATTTCCGGGGTAATGCAGTACTAAATGTGTCCGTCTGGCAGACAATCTTAACTGGGGCTTATTTTGGGATGGGGCTTATGTTATAAGCATCCTGAAAATCATGCTAGGGCTTATTTTCCAGTTGGCTCTTATTTTGGGGAAGCCACGGAAGTACCCTATGTATTATATATACAATATAAAAATCAAGATTGATTGCCAATATAGATATATATTAGCTCACATATAAAGCTATTTTGATTAAGTATTTAATAACAATCAATCCTATTTAGATTAATAGATATATGTGTTTGTGTGAAAAAGAGAACAGTTTTAACTTTCTCCAAGAACAACACAATTATATAATAATCAACAGGAAAGAATATGTATATGTAGATTAGAGTTAAACTGTGGAGTCCTTGGTGCTCTCTGAGCTTGAGTGTTTGCTTGCTGATGTTTCATTACCCAACTAGAAAACATCTTCAGTGCTAGTATGAAGTTTGTTCCCTGTCTACTGTACGTAGCTTGTCCTATCAATGTTGGTGGGGATGCAGTTATTTCGTTAGTGGTACCTTGATTGGGATATTTTATAAGAGTTTTTTTACTCTTATCTGAGTATTGGCTGCTAGGGATTCTGATCTTTTTGTTTCTTTTTAAGCTTTTTATTGTCTGTTTTGAATGGTATGTAAACATAGTTTATATCTATGTGTCTACTGATGGCTGATTTGTCTGAATGCCAAGCTTTCAGGAATTCCATAGCGGTTTTGGATTAACTTGGTCTGGTATATTCAGAGTTTCTAAGCTGAAACCATGTTTGAGTCTGTCCATGTACTGAGAGATTAAGGCATTTTCATTGTGTCTTCTGACTGCTAATTGGTGTTTGTGGATACATTCTGCTAGTCTTCTATCTGACCTACATGGTGGCTGTTACAATCCTTACAATCTATGTTGTATATTAGCCCTATTTTTTCCCTTGGACAACTGGATCTTTGGATATATTTGATTTACTTGGAAGGGCTTTATTTGATTTGTGTCCTATAGTTATGACATATGATTGTAATAGTCTATTGGTTTACTGGTTCTTTCTGAGATGATTTTAATGTATGGTAGTCTGACCCTTTACACACACACACACACACCAGTGGTGGGTTCCAGCTGTTGGCTGGGAGCAGCCGCAAACGTACCGGAACAGTGCTTTGGAGGACCCACACTCGTTCCTTACCTGTTTGAGCTAATTGGGCCATTTGTGCATGCACACGCAGCGTACAGCGCCTGCGTGAACTCCGAGCAGTTGGAGCGTTGCAGGGCGGTGGTTGTGTATGCGCCCATGGTGGTCACCCAGCCCCATCGCAGTGTACCAGTTGCAACGGGATCTGGAACCCACCACTGACACACCATAAATATACATAAAAGTAACAATAAGTGAATATACCTTTAGCTGAGTTTCTGTAGGAGTTGATGCCAAAAATGGAGGCTGCCCCACTAACATCTCAAAGAGAATTACACCAACACTCCACCAATCACAAAGCTGAGTATATCCTGAAAGGTAAGCAGAAAAATAAATGTTTTCATTGTTTCGTGCTAGATTTAAAGATCATGAGTGTTACCATCACCATCAACACTACCACCATAATGTATATCCCATTATAAGAAGGCTTATTAAATCTTTTAATCTAAAAAAATGAAATCATGGAAATGGTTCATTTAGAACCCACTAATGCAAACAAAATGTGCATTCAAGAATATTCAGCTTACTTTATTCAGTGAACTTGTAAAGCTAAGAAAACATACAAAGCATTGTATTCTTCATAAAATTTCACCTATCTTGAATGCTGTCATCTGTTTCACCCAATATTTGTTGTAAAAATGGTTTTGCCAAGTCTGTTTTCTTGGAAATTGTCTAGATCGGAAAGTCAGTTATGGATTTTATGTAATTCTATCTTTGTTATAAGAAAAGCTGAACATCCTACAGCTTTAAGAGTTTATCTAGGTATGGATGGCATATTCACACTTTCACATGGTAAATAACAGTTTAATAAATAAATGAGCAGTTGGATTTAAGAGGATATTAAATAGCACAAATGAGAACAACAGGGTCTCAAAGTAACAATGCCTTTCTAACAAAGATAAAAACCATCTACCTTTACGTAGAAGAACCTCCGGCGCGATATAGTTGGGAGTGCCAACTAAGGAATGGGCTAAGCATCTCTGATGTTGCTTTTTAACTCTCTGCTCCAAGGTCTTCAACCTGTCTCCGCATCTACAATTAGATACATCGTCCCAAAGATCACTTGGCTCCATGCTATCCTGCCTGATGTGACTCCCTTTCAAAAGAAGACAAACAAAAACCAAAACAAAAAAGCAGATTACAATCAAAGATCCATACAAACATTCCCAAATTACAAAACAAAGGCGGACATTCTTCAAACTGAATCAAACAATATTCTAGATATGAAGAATGTAATTCATTTATGTTGCAATTTGTATTAACGTTTTTCTGTGGGTGATTTATTTATAAAGAGTTTCCTGTCTTGCCACAGCTTAGTGAATCATTGCAGTTGTTAAGTTGGTAGCATGGTTATTAAGTGAATCTGGTTTTCCCATTGACTGTGCTTGTTAGAAGGTTGCAAAAAGTGAGTCATGATCTCTGGTCACTGCAGCCATCATGTCAGTTGCCAAGCATCCAAATTTTGATTACATGACAATCACAAGTATGAAAAAAGTTCATACAGTACTTTTTGGAGTATAAGACGCACCTTTTCCCCTCAAAAAAAGAGGCTGAAAATCTGGGTATGTCTTATACACTGAATACAGCATTTTTTTTGTCTCCTGAAACCCCACCCCTTCACCAAAATGGCTGTGTATAGCTTGTAGGAGGCATTCAGAGAGATCCTGGGGGCTCGGGAGGGCAGAAATGAGCAAAAAATGGACTGTTTTTTGCTCAATTTTGCCCCCCTCCCCCAGCTCCCAGGAGCATTCTATAAGCTTCCTATTGCCCCTTTTTTGACAAAAAAACGGGCCGTTTTGGGGAGGCTTGCAGAGTGCAAAACCTTTTTTAAAAAATTTGCCTCTTCAAAACCTTGGGGCGTCTTATACTCCGGTGCATCATATACTCCTAAAAATACGCTAAGTCACTTTTTTCAGTGCTGTTGTTAACTTCAAATGGTCATTAAATGGTTGTAAGTTGAGAACTAGCTGTACTGATTTTGTGTCTGTTCCTAGTTTTATTCTTACATTCCTACTTAGTCTGCCTTCCACCCTCTTTTTTCTCTACTCGTCAATCTCTTACCAACCTTACCAAAAATTCCCTGATTCTTCAAGGTTTCCCTTGCTATCTCTACTTGGAATTCCTTCCCAAAACACCACAGGGTATTGTCTTTCTTATGTCTTTTAAGATATTTTACATAGTTCTGTTTAAAATATTGATGTTTTTGATGTTTTGCATACCGTTCAAAGAATTTACGTAATAAGTGAGTTATGAATGATTAAAATAAACATTGGACACTATCTTAAATTTCTACTGTGTTTCTGAATAGTCTTCAGGAATGGGCTTTTTAAACAGCTGTGATGTATATTTTTCTACTTTAGCCTAACCCAATCTGGCAGTCTAATTGAATTCGGACCATAACTCTGTGGGTTCTCAGTTTGCTTTGCCTTCCAAGAAAGTTGTCAAATTGAAGAGTTGCTGCATTGCACTTCAGCTTATCCAAGGATCAATAAAAAAGAGCATGCATACTTCTACTATAATAACCCTGCACCCAATCCCTCTTCTTTTCTGGGCAACATGTTTAGATTGTAAATTTGTAAAAGACAGATCTGATTCTTATACCCTGCAAAGTGACAATTTAGTAACCAAAATGTCAAAGCTTAGCATTATTAGTTATTCCTTTTTAAAACTATATAGGCACTCTACCTTTCTGATAGTATTTTGAGTTATGTGTCCACCTGAATCCAGTGCAGAGGCCAAAGTCAGTCAGTTTGATGTGTCCGTCAAGATCAATCAGGATATTGTCTGGTTTGATGTCCCTATGGATAAATCCCATTTTGTGGACACTTTCTATGGCTAAAGTTAGTTCAGCAATGTAAAACCGAGCTAGCTTTTCTGGGAAGACTTCCATTCGGATCAACAGGCTCATCATGTCTCCTCCTGGGATGTAGTCCATCACAAAGTACAAGCTGTCCTTATCTTGGAAGGAGTAGTAGAGCTTGACCACCCATTCATTGTCTGCTTCTGCAAGGATGTCCCTCTCAGCTTTGACATGAGCCACTTGGTTACGGTTGAGCACATCTTTCTTCCTCAGTGTTTTCATGGCGTAAAGAGCATGAGTATCTACTTTGCAAGCAAGGCAGACTTCACCGAAAGCACCAATGCCTAGAGTCTTGATTTTTACAAACATTGATTTATCCATTTTAGCTCTTTTCAGCCTGTTATAGTTTGATTCTTTTTGGTAGAGAATTTTTCTCATCTGCTCTTGCTCTGCTTCACAAAGCCCAGCCTTAGTCAAAATCAGGAGGTGGGGGAGAGAGAGGAAAAAGAAGCAAAATAATCAGTATCATGGCAACAATTATCAGAAACCTACACAAGTATATTAGTTATACTGTAACTCTAAATTACAGCCGATCATTTTTTTGTCCAATTCTGAAGTTCTAAGCTAGTTTCCTCTAATTTGAAAGGAATCAGGTTGGGGGTAGAGCCATGAGAGCGAAACAGGTGGCCCGTGGAGCATGCAAGCTGTTGCCCTGTCAGCTCCAGCGCACATGTGCACTCTAGCCAGCTGACTTTGGCCTTCTTTTTTGGCCGTTTTTCACCACCACCCCCGAGGCTTTCCTGAAGCCTCCGTAGGGTGAAAAACAATCCAACATGCAAACTGGAAGTTTGGGAACGGACTTCCGGTTTGCATGTTGGGCCGTTTTTCACCCTCCGGAGGCTTCAGGGAAGCCTCCTGAAGCCCCTGGAGTGCAAAAAATGGCCCAAAATGCAAACCGGAAGTCCGTTCCCAAACTTCCGATTGCCCATAGGGCCCTTTTTTCACCCTCTGGAGGCTTCAGGGAAGCCTCCTGAAGCCTCAGGAGAGCCTTGGGGGGGGGGGTCTCCTAGAAAGCCTCTAGAGCCTGGGGAAGGCGAAAAATTGGTCCATTGCGTGCCAAAAGCGGGGGTGGGTGGTGTGGTGTGCGCGGGGTCACGCACATAGCATTATGGGTGTGGCACGCCCACGCACGGTCCCCCTGAACTCCCCCCATTTTTGGCACGTGATGGGGAAAAGGTTAGCTATCACTGGGATAGAGGGTCTACCAGAGGTGGTATTCGCCTGAACCGGTAACAGAAATTGCAGGTGGCTACACCCACCCACCCTGGCTCTATGGCATCCCATGGATGCAGGCTCGCATTTGCAAACTGGTAGGGAAGGTAAGTGAATACCACCCCTGGGCTCTACATTTTAAAATACAGCACAGATTATGTTAAGCCAGGCTTCGTCTAACATCTGCCTGGACAGCCCAAAGTCTGCAGAGAAGGACCTTCCCATTAGATATAAGGGGAGGAGTATATGCAGCATAGGCCTCCCCAATGAGTTTTTCCCAATGTGTTCAGAATCGTATTCATTTTATGATACGATTGATAAACATAAAAACTGGATTCAATACATGTAATTGTGAGAATTGCTTTTGTAGGTCAGTTTGGTATAATGGTTAGAGCATCAGGCTAGAAACCAGGAGACTGTGAGTTGTAGTTTCACCTTGGGCACCAAGCCAGCTGGATGATCTTGGTCCAATCACACTCAAGAAACAGAAAATGGCAAATCAGTTCTGCAATCTTGCCAAGAAAGTGGAGGGACTGTCATCAGAATAACCCTTAATCATGCTGGAGGAAAACTTTATATCTACGTTTTTTATTTAGAGTAGAATAGAATAGAATTCTTTATTGGCCAAGTGTGATTGGACACAGAAGAAATTTGTCTTTAGTGCATAAGCTCTCAGCGTGCATAAAAAGACATGAAAAGATACATTCGTCAAGAATCATAAAGTACAACACTTAATGATAATCATAGGGTACAAATACATGTTAAAGGAACAGAAATGTCCTTTTGGTTTTAGACGAAATGATGCTGTATGTAGAAAAGAGACCTACAAACTTGCTTTTCTTTAGATACAGCACTGTTATGTATGATTTATGGGTACATGGAAAGTCCTAACATAACAAGTTTTACAAAATCAAATACACCATCCCACAAAAATAAATCACCTTGGCCATTTCCTGCTCTAGCTGCAGCCGGCGATTCATTTTCTGCTGATAGGTCTTTATAACATTCTCCACATGCTGCTCCATGTAGAATTTAAAGGCAAATGGTGAGTAGCTCTTGATTCGGGATTCTCTCTTCTCTTCATCTTTGCCATTCTTCCGCACTGGGACTGGGGAGGTCTGTATTTGCTTTTTATCCTTGCCCACTTTTTCTGATTTAGCTGTCTTGATTTTGTCATTCCTTTCCCCGTTTTCCTCAGATTTGTTGCTTGATGAGCTTGGGATTCTCCGAATGGTTTGTTCCATTCCTGGACGTAAACAGTTCATATCAAACTGCTCTGAGCTGTTGGGTAGCAGCAAATGTTTGGGATATGGCGGTGGAGGGCACCTGAGTTCCTGATTGCTATAATCAACATCTAACTGATAGGCATTTGCTCCCCCAACAGGAAGGGGGTGTTGCTCCATCATTCCTAGGTTGTCTAGTGGTGAGGACTGTGCCGGTAACCAACCTGGATGCGCGGGGCCTACGGCAGTCTGAGGTTCAGGCCTCATCACTCTTGTGCTCTTCACTGGTTGGAGAATATGAGTAGCTGTGACAGCCGTGATGGTATTTGGAGAAGGAATGGTGGCCTCAGCTTTGCCCGAACCAGCCTGCCTCAAAGGCATTTGTGGCTGGTGGTTGTTAAAAGAATTGGTTCTACTGGGGACACAGGCATCTGGCCTGAAGGGTACATGCTGCCGTGGAGAGGCTTCCAATGCTTGGCTCTGCAGTGAATCACGACGGGATGAAGAAGAGGAAGAGGAGGAAGAGGTTGTTTGCCACTGCTGAATCTGAGAGTTATTCAAATCATATAGGTCCATATTCAGGCTATTTCTAGATGGGGTTAAGAGACCCTGGGGTGGGCTGTCTGAAAATTCATTACTAAATGGAGCACCTCTGGTGATTACATGAATTGGGTGAGAACTTGGGATTGGCTGTTTGTGATGGGAATGTGGCATATATAGACCAGCCGGTGCCTGCTGGAACCCATGGCCAGAATTGTTAGGTGCAACAGCTGCTTTGTTAGGGAGGCTCGGATAGCCTCCTTCTTGTTGCATTTTATTTTGAAAAGAATGGCTCCGCTGAATTCCATATCCAAGGCTCTCACTCTGCACCATCACAGGCTGTCTGCCATAATGTGGACTATTTGAGCCATGGGTACCCTGCAACTGCAAAGCTTGGTTACTATGACCTGCCACTGGATAGCTGATGACTGGGGAATCCATGTTGGTAGGGTAAGCTTTCTGTTGAAGGTTGCCAGGAGTGTTGTGGGAGCTTAAGCATGGTGGCCTTTGTACAGGAGCATTCATGGTCGCAGACTGAGAAGCAGAAAGTAAATAGTCCATATATGGTCTGGGAACCTCACTGATCACATTAGCAGATTCAGCACCAAAGCCAGTGCCTTCATAGGCTGGGTTAGTTATCTGGTGATAAGGTGAAAAAGATTCAGGGGTTCCTTCAAAACTTGGCCTTCGGCTTACACTGCTTGGCATTATACTTTTTCCTGTGGAGAATAACACAATGAACGGATTAACATCAGAAAGATAGGTATATGAATAAATGCTGTTCTTTCTTTCAAACATACACAGAGACACAGAGGGAGACGGAAAGAGAGAGGGAGGGAGGGAAGGAAGGAGAGAGCCTTATGTAACCATGCCAGGTTTAAAACAATTATTCACTGTGTCCACTGTTTAAGCACTGGTTCCCAGTCAAGTTTACTTTTCATTGTGCATGAAATCAATTTTGGGAAAAAATAAAATGTTCTTGAAGTTTCTTTATAAGCATATTTGTCTTGCTGCACATGTGAAAGAATGGGGAAAGAAAAATAGAGATGTACATAGACTATGATATTCCTTTTCTTTTTGCACTGAAAACAGCATGGAATTCTTACATCTAGTTTTTCCTTGTAAAAGGAAATTTCAATCGCAAATCTTTTAACATTAAATGCAATGGAGTTTCCACAAGGATTCCACTCAGTTACATGAGAAATTATCACATAAAATGATCTAGTCATGGAACTTCATGTAGAGATTTCCATAGGACCATCATCTCTTTTCTTCCTGTCTTATACTGTGGTGCTACATTTAGCGAAGTTAGGAGAGATGACGTCTTAATCTGGTGTACATTCAGAACTAGATCCACCTTGAAATAGTTGAGAAACACATGTAGAAGATGTGTAACTTGCTTACCTGAAGAAGTCTGCTTAATTACACGGACTATTTGTTCATTTCTAGGGTCTACGTATCCCATCTTGCTAATGTATTCCAAAGCTGCTTCAATGCTTCTGCTCCCAGTCTGTTTGAGAGCTCTAATAGCCATTTCCTAGACAAAATTAAACAAACACAAGATATCTGTAAGCAATCTGGAAGTATTTTATGCAATACAAGTACAACGAACTGTTGCATTTTATTGATGCATTATATCTGAATATATTATGACTTTAAAATAAAAGAAAAAGTGCAACTAATATTTATTTATTGTATCCTGCCTTTCCTCCAGCAGCTCAAAATCATATAGATTGCACTCCTCTGATTTTCCCACAACAACCATTTTATGAGGTAAATTGGGTTTTAAGTAGTCCAAAGTCCCCCAGTCAGAGATGGTATTCAGCAGGTACTGAACAGTTTTGCAGAATCGGTAGTGGAAATTGTGAGTATTCCGGAGAACCGGTAAATACCAGCTCTGACTGGCCCCACTCCTATCTATTCTCTGCCTCCTAAGTCCCAGCTGATGGGAAGGAAATGGGGAAATGGGGATAGAGCTGAGGTGGTGCAGTGGTTAGGGTGCAGTACTGCAGGCCACTTCAGCTGACTGTTATCTGCAGTTCAGCGGTTCTAATCTCACTGGCTCAANTGTTAATACCACTTTATAATGCCTTGGTAAGGCCATATTTGGAATACTGCATTCAGTTTTGGTTGCCACGATGTAGAAAAGATGTGGAGTCTCTAGAAAGAGTGCAGAGAAGAGCAACAAAGATGTTTAGGGGAATGGAGACAAAAACATATGAAGAACGATTGCAGGAACTGGGTATGTTTAGTTTAATGAAAAGAAGGGCTAGGGGAGACATGATAGCCGTGTTCCAATATCTCCAGGGCTGCCACAAAGAAGACGGAGTCAAACTATTCTCCAAGGCACCTAAAAATTGTTCTGTGCATGCGCAGAACTGAAAATCAAAATGGCACCGCCATAGGAGAACCGGTTTGAAGGTGTGGAGGCTTGGGTCGCTGCCGGTTCCAGCGACCCAGGCTGTCAAATCACTACCGGTTAGGTTGAACCAGTCCAAACTGGTAGGAACCCACCACTGAATATGCAAAATCAGCTACCTGGAAAACCTGTGGAATATGAAGGAATGCATGGGCAGAAGAATCCAATTTGATAGTCACCGTGGAAATAATACTGTGTTTAAAAAGAAGGTAACAATTTAAAACAGGATGGAACTACTAGCAGATCCATCCCATCTCCAGCCAGGAAAATGAAATGAGCTGGAAAACATCTGGTTCGGCATCAATCCTCTCTGCAGAGTTCAGGTAAAAATGTTTGATTATTAAAAAGTAGGACATAAACAAACTATAAAGCAGGGAAATCAAAGAAGCCAAGTGCTCACAGAAGACAACACGTATGGCAGAGATGTTTCCTTAAAGGCATCCTGTCTTGTTCAGAAGTGAATATTAAAAGTCTTTGAGCCAAAACTCTGTCTGTCTGTCTGTCTGTCTGTCTGTCTGTCTGTCTGTCTGTCTGTAGGAGGAAACTGGGGTGCTTGGGGGATCAGAGCTATAGAGCTAAAAAGAAAGTTAATGACAAAGAGACAAATAGGAGCATATAGTTAGCATAAAAGTCTATGGGAAATACTGTCCTTCGGACTTCAGAAAGAAAGCACAATGTCATATTATAAACTAGAAATTAGAACTAGAACTAGAAGGGCAAATTCCTAAAGAAGAGCAATATAACTAGGACATGTCCCCAAAGTAATTTAGTAGTCAGCACATAGCATCCTGGTGCAAATATCCGTATCTGAACTGATAATTTAATGAGAGAAATCTGAGGAAAGATTGTGCTGACAAGATACGTTTTACGTTGAAGAGGCAAATGAAAAACAAATAATTCCTCTGGTTCAGATGGAATCCATCCAAGAGATTTTAAAGCACTAAAACGTAAACATGCTGATCCTTCTGCAAATATATGTGAGATGACCTTCAGAACAGGACCGGGCAGTGGTTCATTTTTGTACATGAACCAAGAAAGCTCCAGGAAACATCTGTTGTGGGTAAATTGGTGCCAAGTGTTATTAGAGTTAAAATGATCGGGTTTATAGGAAGATAAAGCTTGTTAAGGAATCATCAACATGGTTGCCTCTCTGACCTTTTTGAATTTTCTGAGGGCGTCAACAAGCATGTGAATGAGGTAATCTAGCAGACAATGGCTGCCTGACCTCTTAAAAAGGCTTTTGTAAAGGTTTCTGAGAAAATACAGCATCCACATAAGACAAGAGCTCTCCTTAACTCAGTCATTAATTAAAGAACAGAAAATAGAGAGGACTAATCAATCAATAATTTATACTAGAGAATTTAAACGGTGAGAATTTTCCAGCATACCAGAGGTGGGTTCCTACCAGTTCGGACCAGTTCGGACCCAGTTACTACCTATCAGTAGGTAGTAACTCGGCTTGCCACGCCCCCAAACCTGTTCTATCCTCGGCACTGCCATCTTGATTTTTGTTCTGCGCATGCGCAGAACAATCTTCATTGCAAAAATGTAATTTTTCCCCTTTTCTAACATTGTGTGCATGCACAGACCTTTTTAGGTGCAAATGCCCACAAACACATTTTTTGTGCAAAATTTTTGTGTGTGCCGAACCAGCAGTAATGCTGGCAGCAACCCACCCCTGCAGCATACATATTGGGGCCCTGCTTTTGAACTTATTCTACAGTCATTAACCTGGGATTAGCAAGTGAGTTGACTGATTTTGCTAGTATCCAATTATTTAAGGAAATGCATACAAACAAACAAGAAAACCCCCAAAAAAGTAATTTAATATATAGCAGTAGCAATAGCAGTTAGACTTATATACCGCTTCATAGGGCTTTCAGCCCTCTCTAAGCGGTTTACAGAGTCAGCATATTGCCCCCAACAACAATCCGNCTACTCTACTCTAATCTAATCTAATCTACTCTACTCTACTCTACTCTACTCTACTCTACTCTACTCTACTCTACTCTACTCTACCCAAGCCTACTCTACCCTACCCTACCCTACCCTATCTTATAGAATCCATCTTCCTCCATTGACTGTGCTTGTCAGAAACAGCTGGGAAGGTGATCACATGACCCTGGGATGCTACAACATTTGTAAACACATGCCGGATGCTTCAACAGTCATAAGTGCGAGGACCGATCGTAAATCACTTTTTTTCAATTGTGTTACAACTTTGAACGATCACTGAATGAATGGTTGTAAGTCGAAGACTGCATGTATTATAATAAATGTATATTAGATGCATTTCTTTGTCCATTATCATCTCATGCTCTTATTTCATATGTGTCTGCGCATTCCAGCGAACAGCGTGAGATTTATATCTCTCTGGGAAATTGTGCTTCAGATCTTCTAAGTGTCCCACTCCTATTGCGACAAGCCTACTTAAAGTTCAAAGTTCATCCTTGAAGAGTCTCAGTTTGAGGTGAAATAAGAGCCCATTTTCAAGCTATAACAACAGCAAAAAAAAAATTGCCTTAATTAAAGCTCTACTTCTCCGTTGATGTGGCTCCCTCTCCCATTGTGGGTCTTTCATTTGACAACCCCACAGAATGTCAAAGAGGTCATTAAAGTTAGCCATGCTTTAACTGGAATAATTGACAGTGAATAACTGCCTGCTATGAGAAAGTGCATTTTCTTCTTCTTCTCTTAAAAATAAACAAAATGAAACCTAGGGAGGCTTTGGATGAAGCAGTTGAAATTCACAGGGTGCAAAGGCGTGTTTTCTACATCCGCAGATTTCTGCAGGTGTAGATTAAGCTTGTTGAAATCCCCTTATCATCATCATTATTTATAACAAGAATACAATCCTCCCTATAATCATCATTGCTTATTATTGGTATTAAAATATACAAGGCAAGGAAGCATCGAGGCCTCGTCCAGACAGACGAGAAATAAAGGGATAATGTATAACTTATGGCACAAATAGAGATCATGTAAAGGCATGTGGAAGACGGGGCAAAAGACCCTGTCTAGAGCGGGGGTCTCCAACCATGGCAACTTTAAGACTTTTGGACTTCAACTCCCAGAGTTCCTCAGCCAGCTTTTCCCTAGAGAATAGTCTAGAGCAGTGGTTCCCAAACTTGGCAACTTTAAGACTTGTGGACTTCAACTCCCAGAATTCTCGAGCCAGCAGAGCTTAAGTCTTAAAGTTGCCAAGTTTGGGAACCACTGGTCTAAAGCAGTGGTTCCCAACGTGGAGCTCATGTCCAACAGGGGGTAATTTGATTTTGAATGGGGGCAATTTGAACCTTGTTTAAGCCAGGTTAACGGCTTTTTAGGCTTCCTCCGTGTGAATAGAGTTCACTTTTTGAGCAAAGTAAGAATTATAGGTCACAAAGGGGGGGAGCATCAGGATTTGAGAGATGCTTAGGTGGAGCATGGCCAAAAGAAAGGTTGGGAACCACTGGTCTAGAGCCATGATGGCAAACCTATGACATGTTTGCCAGAGGTGGCACACAGTGCCCTCTCTATGGACATGCGAACTGTTGCCCCAGTTCAGCTCTGTCATGCAGGTGTATGCGTGTGCGCCTCCCACTGGTCAGCTGGTCTTTGGATGTCTGCCATGCATGCCCGGGGGGGGACATGTGCAGGGGGCTGTGTGTGCATGCACAGGGGTGAGGCACATGCAGGGGGCAGTGAGAGCATGCGCGGGGGCATGTGTGTGGGGAACACATGCATGTGCGGGGGCAGGGCACATACACAGGGGCTGCACATGCGTTGCATTTTGGGGGTTCAGGCACAAGTGTGCACATTCATGTATGCGCTTTGAGCACTCGGTCCGGAAAAGGTTAGCTATCACTGGTCTAGAGAATGGTCAAATAAGAGACAGCGTACAGGTAGTCCTTGATTTACGACCATAATTGAGTCCAAAATTTCCATTGCTAAGCAAGGCAGTTGGTAACTGAGTTTTGCCCCATTTTACGACCTTTTTTTGCCAAAGTCATTAAGTGAGTCGCTGCAGTTGTTAAGTTAGTAACACAGTTGCTAAGTGAATCTGGCTTCCCCATCGACTTTGCTCATCAGAAAGTTGCAAAAGGTGGTCACATGACCCGGAACAACTGCAACTGTCA